CCCGCCCGCCCGTCTATCTATCTATCTATCTATCTATCTATCTATCTATCTATCTATCTATCTATCTATCTATCTATCTATCTATCTATCTATCTATCTATCTATCTATCTATCTGTCTGTCTGTCTGTCTGTCTGTCTGTCTGTCTCTCTCTGTCTGTCTGTCTGTCTGTCTGTCTGTCTGTCTGTTCTGTCTGTCGTCTGTCTGGGGCTTTCTCTTAGTAAGAGTGAAGCTTTAATCGCTTAGGAAAAGAAACATCATAGGTCTTATATTATTAAATGTGGAGGGGAGGATAGATTTTAGGTCTGAACTCACCTTTGATTTCTTTGTAACCCTTACTGTTTAAAAAACAAACCCAGATTTCAATTCTCAGTTTAATGCACTCTCACAGTGTTCCTTATTGGGTAGTCAGTGCTGGCTACGGTGCCACATGATGCACAGAAAGCAAGAGTCTATGGTACTTCTGGGCTGGAGTAGAAGAGCTCATGATCCTGGTTAGGGCACAGAATCCAGTCTTCACTCTTGCTTAAGGATGTTAGCATAGGCATCCTTCAGTCTCGGGAGACTATGGTAACATGCTCTGAATCGAGGAGTGTCCTCTCCAGAGCATGAAGCCTGGGTAAGGTAATATGGAGGATAGGCTCTGGAGTAGATCATGATCCTGGTTAGGGCACAGAATCAAGTCTTCACTCTTGCTTAAGGATGTAAATCTTGGGTTATTTTATTATTCTGGGTGACAATGAGAAGTTTCACTAGTTTTCTCTCCACTGGCAGATTTATAAGAGGGTTTTTAAAGAAGCATTTTAACATTTAAAAAATGTTTTTAAATGTTTTAATTTTTTAAGCAATTTTTTGATGAAAAACTAATGAAAGTGTCTATATTTTTTTTGTGCAAAAACACTGCATTTTTCATGAAAAACTTTGTGCTCTGACCCAAATATGACTTCATAAAAGAAACACAGGCTGGAATCCTATTATGCAGCTCCGCCTGAATGGTGATGATGTCATCAATAATGGATGTAAATCTTTGGTTATTTTATTCTTGTAGGTGACAATGAGAAGTTTCACTAGTTTTCCCTCCACTGGCAGATTTATAAGAGAGTTTTTTTAAAAAGCATTTTAACATTTTTAAAAATGTTTTTAAATGTTTTAAAATTTTTAGCATTTTTGGATGAAAAACTATTGAAAGTGTATATTAATCTTTTTTGGTGCAAAAACACTGCATTTTGCATGAAAAACTTTGTACTCTGACAAAATGTGACTTCATAAAAGAAACACAGGCTGAAATCCTATTATGCAGCTCTACCTGAATGGTGATGATGTCATCAATAATGGCAAATTGCTGCTGTTTAAAGCCAAATAAATGCTGATTGAAGGTATTTTTGAGATGTGTGGCTTGTTCAAAATGCAACAAAGTTCTATGTGCCCCCAAATTGTCAAAGTAATGGTGATTTGCTGAAGATTGTATTATTAACATTGTGTGTATGGAGCTGTGCAACAGGATTTCAGCCACTGTATTTTTGTAATTTCTGTTGCTGACAAACTAAAGTGCTAATATATTCACTCTCCTATAGGAGTAGAAAATCTTGCAAGAGCCCATTTTTTCTACCGGTTATCTTGATAATGTTGAAATACCCTTTTAAATTAAGGAGAAGAATACTTATTAGTAGGTGGGAGGATTTCTATGACATTTCACATTTTTTCCTGCAACTTACATTTGAACCATATGTTTGTGAGTAATCTGGCCTTTCTCACTAGATTTTAAAACCCACACATAAGCTTTAAGATTTAAACCCACACATAAGCTCAGACATAGGTTACAGAAAAAAATGACATGTCATATAAATCCTGCCCCTATTTATAAGGATTCATGACATCGTTACTCTTTCCTGTTGCATAAACCCAACTGTTACAGTAAATCTTGTAAATCAATAGAACTTAAAAGAGTGTCAGCTTAAGTCTGGTTTTCTTCAATCGATCCAATCTCATCAGTTCTAACAAGCAGGGTTATATCTTTCATGCTTTTTGGCTCCTGTTGTTATGTACCATTAAGTCACTCTCGACTTATGGCAACCCTATAAATTAGTGATCTCCTAAATGCCCTTAACAGCCCTGCTCTTGCAAACTCAAACCGCCTTTAGTGAGTCTGGTCCTTAACAGCCCTGCAAACTCAAACCGCCTTTAGTGAGTCTGACCATCTTGTATTTAGTCTTCCTCTTTTCCTGCTGCCTTCCAACTTTGCCAGCATTATTGTCTTTTCCAGAGAACTCTGCCTTCTCATGATGTGCCCAAGGTAGGACAGCCTTACTTCCAACATTTTTGTCTCCAGAAATAGTTCAGGCTTGATTTAATCTATGGCCCACTTATTTGTCTTTCTGGCAGTCCAGTGTATCCACAAAGCTCTCCTTCAGCACCACCTTTCAAACTAATAATTTTTCCCCAGTTAGCTTTCTTTACTGTTTAGCTTTCACAGCCCATTTTCCCCCCGGTTAGCTTTCTTTACTGTCTAGCTTCCACAGCCATACATGGTGATCAGAAAGATAAGAGTATGGATTATGTTGGTCTTGGTCTCCAGTGACACACCTTTATATTTGGTTATCTTTTCTAATCCTTCATTACTGCCCTTAATTTTGATTGATGATTGAACCAAAGTATATAAAATCTCTATTTCAGTTCCTTCGTTGTCAGTGTTAAAGCTGTGTAGTTCTTCTGTAGTCATGATTTTTGTCTTCTGTAACATTCATCTGTAGTCTTGCTTTGGCACTTTCGTCTACCACTTCCCCTAACAGTTGTTTCAAGTTATTGCTGCTTTCTGCCAGTAAGATGGTGTTTTTTGCATCCTTAAATTCTTGATGTTTCCTCCACCAATTTTCACTCCTCCTTAAAATCTTGATGTTTCCCCCACCAATTTTCACTCCTTCTCTGAATCAAATCTGGCGTTCCGCATATGTTCTGCATACATAGTGAACAGATAAGGGGATAACATGCACCCTTGTTTGACACCTTTGCCTATAGGAAACCATTTTGGCTCTCTATATTCTGTCTTAATAGTAGCTTCTTACAAGTTATACATCAAGACAATCAATTGCTGAGGCACACCCATTTCACATTTCCGATGATCCACACAGTCAAAGGCTTTGCTATAGTTTTTGTTTCACATTTCCCATGATCCACACAGTCAAAGGCTTTGCTATAGTTTTGAAAGCAAAGACTGATTTTTTTTCTGAAATTCTTTGCTGATCTCTAATAGCCAGTTGATATTTGCAATAACATTTGTCGTTAAGGGTACAATCCTCCTACCCAGAATCATGATGGAGCTCCATGTATGTTGCAAGGTCCATATACACAGCTGGCTTTTCCAGTTCTAGTCCCAATAGTTTTCAATCCTTTTATTTCTAGTATGCTTCACTTCTGATTGTTCCTGTTACAGTGATTGTACACCCACATAGTTTCTATAAGCATTGAGGTCAGAAAGAGGGCTCTTGGCGTTGCAGGAAACAGACAAGAGGAGGAGCAGTAGTTGTGGTTTCTGCTGACCACATCCTTTCGGCTTCCTTAGAAATAGCTCCTCTTGCTTCATCTGAAATGTTACTACATCATAGCACCTCAGCCTTCTGAAGGTATTTCCTCTGCATTTTCACAGTTTTGCTGGCTGAGCTATAAATCTAGTAAGATAAATATTACTTGATAACATATAACCTAGAATATATTAAAGCATTCTGGGAGTCTGTTGTTTGATTTAATAGTTCTGCTAATTTGGAGACAGCTGTCTGTTTTCATTTTTCACACTATCACATCATGTGGTGCAGAGAAATTGTTCATATGATGCTTGCAAAATCCCAGCACGTATTTAGCAAAAGGTTAGACATAGCTTAGGCAGAAGTTAGAGCAAGCAAGAAGACATGAATCTGACCTTTTGCAGAAGGCTGACCGAAAATACTGAAGTGGTAATTATACATGCAGAAAGTGTTGTGTGTGCACTTCACTAAACTGCACTGAATTAACCCTTAGGCATCAGCATGAAAATCTTGCATTTCATGAGTTGTGGGAGGATTTTCTGACCCCAGTGTAGTGAATTGAGTGTTAACGGTAAGATTAGTATGACTTGAGCCAAGACTAGTAGTTAGGGCTAAGGTTTCATGTATATTTCTTGTATTTCCTGACTCTAATGAGAATTCCAGTGTGTACACTCATATACATAAACACACATACCTCATAGGGCCAAACTACTGACAACTGCACTATGTCACTATACATCATCATTTGCTGCAAAATGGCATGACATTTTGTTATCTCAACACAGTAGATTACATTGACTGGGATAAAAATATACCCTCAATAGCAAAATTCAATGGACTTATTATGAAAAGTTTTGTCTCTACTCTTTTATTTATAAAATTACACCTGTACATCGCAAGTGTCATTGTGTACAACTGTTCAGATGTAGATGCCACAGAGTACTTACCCTGAAGATGTACACCTGTGGAGTTTCTGCAGCAAGACATGATGCTGGTCCCAAACTAGTGCATGAGAGTTAAAAGAATTTGAAATATATTTGCGGACTGGATTTCAAAAATACTGTACGTCTGAAAGTATAACCTGGAGCACGGATGTTTGGGGATGTGCTTCCACAGTCAGATTTCTGTCTGAAAGCTAATTTACAGCTTTGCAAAAGCTTTGGTTTTAACATTATTATTATTATCATAGATACAGAAAAGAAATGGATGCGTATCTTTAAATTTTATTCTAAGGGGGGGAACAGCAACATACAAATGAAGCAAAACTCATGGAGTTCTTATTTTGGAAACTCAGTAAAATGTAAGATCTTCTTTGGCCTGGAGCTGAGGAAGGATTAAGCAAATAATGTACAAAATAAATGGTGATATGAAATGAGGAGTTTGTTGCTGAACTGACCCAAGCTACAACTAACCCAGCATCCTATTCGTGACAATAGCCAACCATATATCCCATGAATGCTCATAAAGAATTTGAAATAGACTCATGGAGGATGTGAAAGTGATGGCCACATATTTTTGCATCTGGGACCAAGAGGTATTTGATTGCTACATGTGAGGATTTTATTTAGCTATTAAAGATACATGGAAGTGTTCTCGAAGGCTTTCATGGCCGGGATCTCATGGTTGCTGTGGGTTTTTCGGGGTCTTTGGCCATGTTCTGAAGGTTGTTCTTCCTAACGTTTCACCAGTCTCTGTGGCCGGCATCTTCAGAGGACAGGAGTAGGAACTCTGTCCATGCTCTGTTGCAGTTCAACTATCCAACTGTCAGCAACAAGGTCCCCTAAAGGATCACTTGCTACCCGAACAGAGGGAGTTCAGGTGCATGTGTACTCCTAATTAGCTGAGCAGAGTCCGGGAGAGTTCAGGTGTATGTATACTCCTAATTAGCTGAACAGAGTCCAGGTGACCCAGCCAGGATGTACACAAACCCTTTTCCACAAGTCTGTTCTTGTAAGTAAGTAAGTAAGAAAAATAAAAGATAAAATCATGAGCTTTGGAGTCTGCCAAGTTGAACAAAGCTCAAGCAAAAAGGATTCTGTAGCATTCTCTGGCCTAAGTATTATTCTGGAAGCAGGCTCAGCAGATTTGCTGTTCAAGAGACCAAACTTAGGATTTTAAGACTAATTTTTATTAGAAAAATAAAGTATTTTGAGATATTCAGTTTGTTGCATAAGCAAAGCATAAGTTACATTTCCACAAGATACTGCAGTTAGAATCTTAACAAAATTCATTTAGCAAAATCAAATAAAATTCTAAAAAAGCTTTTTGGAAGGTAGGCAAGGGTTAGGCCCCCCTCCTCTAACTCTCTCACTATACTACATCCTAGCATAAAGTACTAGAAACAGGACGTACACAAACCCCTTTCCACAAGTCTGTTCTTGTAAGTAAGTAACAAAGAAAAATAAAAGATAAAATCATGAGCTTTGGAGTCTGCCAGGATGAACAAAGCTCAAGCAAAAAGGACTTTGGCGTTCTGTGGCCTAAGTATTCTTCTGGAAGCAGGCTCAGCAGATTTGCTGTTCAAGAGACCAAACTTAGGATTTTAAGAATAATTTTTATTAGAAAAATAAAGTATTTAGAGATATTCAGTTTGTTGCATAAGTTACATTTCTACAAGATACTGCAGTTATAATCTTAACAAAATTCATTTAAAAATCAAAATTCATTTAACAAAATCAAATAAAATTCTAAAAAAGCTTCTTGGAAGGTAGGCAAGGGCTAGGCCCCCCTCCTCTAACTCTCTCACTATACTACATCCTAGCATAAAGTACTAGAAACTGGCATCTGAAACTGGAAACTCCCTGCTTTTTGGAAGGTAGGCAAGGGTTAGGCCCCCCTCCTCTAACTCTCTCACTATACTACATCCTAGCATAAAGTACTAAAAACTGGCATCTGAAACTGGAAACTCCCTAAGCTTTCCAAATCTCAATCCTCCATCCTAATTCTAATTCCTCATTTTTTCCATTCTGTCCGCATCCTCTATTTTCTTCCTTATTGGCACCGCCCATAGGCACCAATAGGCACAAAGGACAGTCTCTTCTCATTTTACCTCCTTTTCCCAGGAGAAGTACAGGTGTTGTTTTCCCATCTCCTTGTCTTGGGTCTAGATCAAACAAGGGTTTTGTGTCTTGACTCCTTATCATCTCATGACAAGGCTGTTTACATGGAACTTTCCATTCACCTTGTGGAGGAAACATTCTCATGGAACAAAATAATGCTAACACAGAACCAACATGGATTCTTTCTATAACTTTCCACAACTACATATCCCATCCTTAGTTCACATTTTAACCTTAATAATCTATACCATGACACCAACAAACTGCAACAGAGCACGGACAGGGTTCCTACTCCTGTCCTCTGAAGATGCTGGCCACAGAGACTGGCAAAATGTCAGGAAGAACAACCTTCAGAACACAGCCAAAGAGCCCGAAAAACCCACAACATACATGGAAGTGTTGATCATTTAATATTTTATGTTTAATGGGCATTTCATTCATTCATTATTTGTTTTCTAGTTAAGGCATACAGAATTTTATAGAGCTAGCTTTGATTTGTGCAAGTAACTTCTCCTGCCTCTGACATTACCTACAGCTATTTTCCTTCCATAACACAGGAGAGGAATAGAAAGGTTAAATGTGACTTGCTTCGGTTTTACTTAAGGACACACAAGTACATAAAATTTCTCATCTAAATGCTTCAGGGTTTTATTTATTTACATTAATTTATTTAAAATATTTTACCCTGTCTTTCTCCTTGAAAGGACCCAAGCCGTCTGTTTCTGCAAGTTTTGGCTTGGAGAAACAGCTTCCACATAAGGAGACTTTCCTAGTCGCTCCAAGAAAAAAACCAGTTGTCTTTAAGCTACTCCTTGGTAAATATGCAGATTTCCCAGTTCTTCGCTGTAACTGTACTGGAGACCCATCTATGCAGCAGAAATCAGTAGATCTGTGCTAATTTATTGAATCGGCTTAGAAACTGTTTAATAGGTACAGCTATCAATTTAAAAAATAGTTACAGGTTAATAGCAAAATTGACTTCTGTCTTTTTAAGATAACTCAAATTATTCTAGCACGATTTGAACTAGAATAATAACAAATAATGGGCATGATCTGGACAAATGTAAGCATCAGCAGAAATCAGTAGATCTGTGCTAATTTATTGAATCGGCTTAGAAACTGTTTAATAGGTACAGCTATCAATTTAAAAAATAGTTACAGGTTAATAGCAAAATTGACTTCTGTCTTTTTAAGATAACTCAAATTATTCTAGCACGATTTGAACTAGAATAATAACAAATAATGGGCATGATCTGGACAAATGTAAGCATTTTTATGTTCTCATGTTTGGTAAGTAGCAAAATCGACTTCTGTCTTTTTAAGATAGCTCAAATTATTCTAGCACAATTTGAGCTAGAATAATAACAGATTATGGGCATGATCTGGACAAATGTAAGCATTTTTATGTTCCATTGATTTCATTTAAAAGGTTAAGTACAGGCTTACATTTTCTTCCACTGAAATCAGTGGGATTTAAAAGTGTTTAACTTTGCTCAGTCATGCCCAGAGTTTCGGCTCTGGCTACTGTACTACAGTAATGCACTTCTCATTTAAATTAAATGGTTACACAATAGACCTTCATTCTTTAATTCACATCAGTGTATAGGGATGTAAGCTATATGTAATATGACTGCAGAACTTTCAAGGGCAAGAACCAAAAGGAATTTGGAATAGTTCTTCTCTCCTTTTAGTATTTTACATCCCGCCAATAGCTGTAGTCATCTAACCTATAAAGCCCTAAATGTCTTGGGTCTAAGCTAATTCTTCCTTTATCAGTCTGCTTGGGTGTTAAGATCATCAACAGAAGCCATTCTCTCAGTCCTACCACCTTCACAGGTCGTCTTGAGTCTAACTCTTCCTTTATCAGTCTGCTTGAGTGTGAAGATCACCAAGAGAGGCCCTTCTCTCAGTCCTACCACCCTCACAGGTGCATTTGGTGGGAACACGGGAGACGGCTTCCTCTGTCACTGTTCCCAGACTTTGGAACTCCCTCCCACTGGAGGCCAGACTGGTACCAACTTTCTGCTGTCCTTCCACAAGCAGACCAAGACCTTTCTCTTCAGCCAAGTTTTCTCTTTAGTGACTGGCTATCTGAGTGGAGTTTTTAAATGAATTGTTGTGCCTTACTGCTCTGAGTGTATTTTTTGGTCGCTTTCATTTCCTGTTTTTTAAGTCTGGTATTTGACCCTTTTAGTATTTGTATACTTACTAATTTTTACCTTTAACATTGTCTTTTAATGATGTATGCCACCTCGGGTCCTTTTAAAGGAGAAAGGTGGAATAAAAATATTTTAAACATGATAGAAACAGCTAACCTAGGACATTTATAAGTCAATAGGCATTCTTTTATTATATTGAGTGTTTATACTCCATTGTAAGGACATTAAAAGTACAGTAGTATTGTTGGCAATAAATATCAACAAATGGAATGAAATAATTATATTACTAGTTGAAAACTGCAATAATACTATTAAGGATTATGTCCACACAAGTGAACATAACGGGAGTCCAGCCGCCTGGGGCTAGACCGTCCACTCAACCTTCCACTGCTGCTGCGGGCTCCGGGCTCCCTTCCTATTGCTCCAGAGTGACCGGTCTGCGAGCCACTCATCAACCTGGCAGTGAGGCTCATCATCCCGCCTCCTGCCAGGAGTGGCTCGCCAACTGTGAGCTTTGGAGCGATAGGTAGGGAGCGCGGAGCCCGCAGCAGCAGCAGAAGGGTGAGTGGACATGTTATGTCCATCTGTGTGGGGGTTATTCATCTATTAAGGATACATTTTACTAGTATAGTAATGGTAAAACACAAAAAGACTAAATAGAAAATTACACTCACTGGAAGCCGCACACGAGCGACACTTACGGACGGGCAGAAGAAACAGGAGGCGAAGAAAAACCTGTACTGTCAAAAATTGCTACTAGAATGGCAGACAGTTCATTCATGGATAAATTGTCCCATATAGTATTGATTAGAAATTGCATGTCGCACTTGTCGAAGGAATGAGGAGAGAGATTATTGAGCTTACTACTGGCAACGTTCCCTCTAATTTTCTGCTAACATGGGGCAGGGCTTGACTTCATGTGTGTGGTGTTCTGGCTGCAACTGGAAGCAAATGAGTAGCAACTCTGGCTCGGCTGCAAAGCCTTGATCCAGCACCGTATGAAGGAAACACTGCCTACCGGTGCTGTATATGCCACCAGTTGAGAACAACTGGTTTAGAATAATGGGGAATAGCCCATCTCCCTTGTCTGCTGTTACCATATGGCATTTCGTAGTCTTATGCTCATTCCTTTTAAGTTATCTAAATTCTTTCTCTCTTTTCTCACCCCCTTTTTTTCTAGGGAGACCAACAAGAAACGATCAGGGACAACACATCAGTCATCAGCAGTGACATTAAACTATTCATATCAGAGCCTGCACCAGATGAGAGATTTTTTTTTGGATCTTCTCCTGAGAAAAGTGTTCCTGTGGATAGTGAAAGCTCAGCTTTGGTAAAGACCACCAGCAAAAATGGCTTTGAAATGGACCGATCCAGGTTGGAAAACAATGCAGGCCTTTATGTCTCCAATGGAGCCCAGAACAGTAATAAGCAAGAACCATCTTGGACTCAAGCACAGTATATTGCGACCGTGGACACTATAGCGAGTTGCGACACGGTACCCGATGACCTCAGTCATCCTGTCGTAACTTCCAAACAGCAGGGCATTCTAGCTCCTATAGCTGTGCATGATATGCAGAAGGAAAGAAGAAAAGCATGTAGAGAAAAGTCCTATGAGGCCAACAAGGTAAAAACAGATCAAGGCACTCTGTGTGCTAAATATCTATCCAAAGGAGATTTCCAGAGGGCCTTGGCATCTCCAGAACCTAAAGTTACAGAGGATGATTTATCATCAATGCACGAACAGTTACAGAAACTTCTTTATGTGGAAGAAGACTGGGCCCGTGACTTGCCTTGCACAATCTCTGAGGCTGAGGATCCAGCAGCTGTGACTGATACTGCCAAGGAGGTCAGGGGATGGAACATAACTAGTGATGGAAGGGGCGGGCAGCATGTGCCAGGAAATTCAGCAGAAGATAATCAGCTTGTCACAGAATTGGCATCAGCAATGGAAGTCCACAGTGATTCGAACAGCCTGCTAAAAACAGACGAAGTGTGTAACGGTACATCCACGGGGCAGTGTTCTTTTGCACTTTCTGTAGAAACAGATGCTAGGCGTCTGTGCTCTGCCTTGAGATGTGAAACAGAAAAGTCATCTGATCATCTTCTACAGAGTAATCTGCAAAAGGAAAAAGATCCAGAGAATAAGTATAATGGAATGCAGCTTGATCATAGAGGGTCTGTTCAGCCATTAAGGTATCGCGAAGGAATGATTATATCTAATAATGCATTCCAGTCTTGTCAAGCAGAATCTTCCTACAGATTTGTGGAAGGCTCAGGCGGTCCTTTAAAACAAAACCAAGAGATTTCATCAGACCTACCTGTTTATTATCTTGGCCAGTTGCCTTCTGTTAAGCAGCACATTCGTCGCAAAAATAGCCCCATAGTAAAGCAATCTGGTGAGATGCCTATGAGAAAGTCTCAAGCCGCACTTCATCAGTCAAGAATAAACGAGGGTACTAAGCTTGCTGAGCTTTCACTGAAAGAGGATTTGTTCAGTAATTTCTCTGGCAAAAATACAGATCAATTTACAAGTGAAGAACACTCTTCAGTTGCAACCGTCAGTAAAAGCACTGAAGAAAAATTTCAGGAGAAAGGAACTGAATCAGAATGGAATGAACCGAGCAACAGCAATAGTAGCATTTACCATGCTTTGAAAAATAATGATAGTAAAAATGTTCAGATTGTAGATGATGCACAGAATTACAGTTACCACATGCAAGAACCTAATTCACATATAGCCACTGATTCTAAAGTTTACCAGGATGAGCCAGAAGTTAGTGGCCCAAATAACAAAGCGAGGAAAGAGGAACCAGTATTCACAGCATCATACAAGGTTAGATTCTTCACTGAAGTTCTGTTACAGATAAAGAATGATAAAAACAGTATGAAAGAAGAACATAGGGAGTCTGGAGAAAGTTCAGGACCAACTGCAGTAGAGTCCAAACATGTCTTAAAGATGCCATCATGTTCTCAATCAAGAGCATCAGAAAATAATTCTAGCACTGCTGGTCATTTTTGCAGCAGTGATAAAGGATTGGATTTTACGAGCTTTCCATCTCAGCCTTATGAATTAGCTGCTTTAAATGTGGTACAGCCTTCAAGTATTCTTAAAAATGAGTGTAGAACAGACCAGGACAGTCAGGGTGGTAAGAACACGGTAGACAATGAAAAACAAATGTACAAAAGTGGTAATGCAAATGTGCTTGGGATAGTTGGAAGTCTGCTGCAAACTGAGCCCCTGGAAAATAAAATTAAAAAAGACAGGGGCACAGAGATCTCTGAACTGTGGCAGGGCCAGCACCAGCGTGTCGAAGAAGGAAGCAGAACACAGGCAGTCCAGTATGAGGGAGAAAGACAAATGTCAGTTGTACATGATATTGAGGAAGCTACAGTAGAACCCTATATGAGGGCTCTGATTGATATAGAACAAGCCCCTTCTTGGCACGATGGTATTAAACTTCAACAGGATGAGTACGAAAAGGTGGAACAAGAAAAAGAAACCCTGTGTAAAAGGGATGCCAGAGAAACTGAAAAATCCATTGAGTGTCACCTAGAGGAGGCTGAAATAGAGCCATACATGAGGGCACTGATTAACTCAAATCAGACGCATTCTTGGCACGATAGTCCACACTTTGTACATTCATCGACGGACTTCGCTGATGAGGAATTGGGTGTGGCTGCAAGAGGATTAGTGGGAGAGTGTACAATTACATCTAGAAACCACAATCGAGCTGCAGCATTCAAGGATGATGAGAGGCAAATCCTAAACTCACCAGAGTGTGCAATGGGAACATCAAGCAGCACCTCGTCTTCTGTTTCTGAGAACAGACGTCACTCTGAGGAACAGTTGGCACAGGTCAAAATTCAGCAAGGCACTGTAGGAGCAGCAGCAGAAGATCTATGCATATTAAAAGCAGAGAAGACAAAGCCACAGGCTGCTTCCAAACTCCACAAGGCACCCTCCCCTCATAGTAGTGCTGAAGATGTGAAGCGCAAGCAGGAAATGGTCAAGAAGAAGGTCATGCCCAAGGGTCAAATTAAGAGACAGCGCATAGAAACAAAGGAAAATGTTTTCAACAATACCAGCTGTGTTAAAAAGAATTCAAAGGCGGAGGCTGATTTAAGTCAGAAGGAAGATAAAAAAGAACCACGGAAACTGACTTGCAAGAAAGACAGCAAAGGTATGCATAGATTTTTTCCCCCAGTTAGACATAGTTTTCTAACAGCAGTTTCCCAAGATCCAGGCAAAAATCTTTCTTTGTCCTGCTTTCTGAGAATCTAGATGGAGATGTCAGGGATTGAACCTGGAATGAATGAAACGGATAAGCCATACCATTGACATGCGCAACAAGACGAGTAACTCCCCTGCTCAAACAAATTAAAACCAGAAGTGGATGCCCATCACTTCTATTTTTGACTGCCACCCCCAATTTTTGTTCATTTCTGGGCCTTGTGCAAACTGAGCAGGATGCAAAATTTGACACCCCCCAACCCTACCAAAGTTGCACATGCCTGCTTTTAAGAGAGGAGGCAGAAACTCAAGTGCCCATAATCATATAATGTCTAAATGGATCCTGCTGTTCTACTCTGAGCTCAGCCCTTCCTTACAAAATTGTATTTTATTTGAAGCCCCCCTATTGCTGAAGAAAATCGAAGCAGAACCATTCCTTGATTCTTCTGGAAATATCAAATTGTGCTGCCAGTTTGGTGAAATCTGCGAAGAATCTGTCATTACATGGACTAAGGACTCGAAGCTACTTGCCCGAGTGCACAGAAGGTAAGGAGATCAAACAGACAAACCATTGATATTGTGGAAAGGGGAAATGTACATATTCTGATAGCCAGAGTTTTGATGGAATTATCTTGAGAGGGAGAAAGATGATAAAAGTAATAGAAACATAGAATTCATGTAATAAAGGGTGGCAAAGGGTGGTAAAGAAGGTGCCCACGTGTCATAGAGATAGCCCAAGTTCCATGTAAATGCCAAAGAAGGGAAAACATCAGGGGCCTTAAAGTTGCCAACTGTTGGCTCCTCAGTTCACATATTTATTATAAAATAGAGAAATCAATTGATATTGATTTGTTGGTTGCAAAATAAAATAATAATGATTATACAGGTCGTCTTCAGACTCGGCCAGCAGTTCTTTGATTAATGCTCAGGTAAAGAGGATAGAGAGGAAGCTCCCATGTCAGATGTGGAGAGAACAGGACCTTAGCTGCCAGGCAGACATGCATGATGGCAAAATGGGCTGGAGAAGGAAAGTAGAATGCAAATACCTCTTGTTGCAACATAGCATGAGCAAAGAGCTAGACTGGGAGTTGGGAGATGAGGCTCTCACTCCCCTCTGTGCCATTTCAGTGGCTGGCCTTGAGCTAATCACTCTCCTCCTTGATCGACCCTCAAGGGAGAGCTGTGATGATAAAGCGGGAACTAGGAGAACAATCTACACTGCTTGGAAGTGGTGGTAGGAGAGGCAGTATAAATGTAGCCATGAAACAAATCAACTCAAGGGAAAGGAAGGAGGGAGCAAGATTAATTAGAGAGCAAGTGATGTGTTTAGTTAGCAGAAATGTTTTCTGAGATTTTCTGTGATTTCACCTTGAAGACTGTAATCATAATAAAAATTGTAGGATTGGTTCTGTATCAAGTAAGCATGCTGCTACTCAAAGAATACTGCAGACAACAGCAGCTGATGGACAACTGAAAGAGGTCACCTTGTTACATCTCCATGATGTATAAAAATAAGAATGGAAGGAAAACAGTAGACATATATATATATCCTTTTGTTTGAATTGTACATCCCTGATGTAGTACTATATATGACCAGTGAAGGAGTTAGTCAAAGTCAGGGATGTAGTAAAATATATATATTACTACATCCCTGACTTTGACTAACTCCTTCACTGGTCATGCTGAACGAGAGATTCTGGGAAGTACAATTCAAACAAAAGGATTTTTTCCAAGCTATGATGTGGAACTGATCATATTTGAACAGGATTGAATACTGAGTTGTAGAAATGGATATCTCTTATAGGTTTGCTTAGCCAAGGGAGAAATATTTCTGAAAGATCCATTTCAATGCTTTCATCCCTCAGCCATGTGTGGCGTGCATAAAGAGGCCTTTGTGTTGTCAACATGAATGTGGGTCTCTAAACTTGATGGTCACTAATGTGTTTTCTGGAGGCTCAGCAGATTTTCATTAACTTCACAAGGGCTCTAAACTCCAAGGATGTACCTTGGATGGCTTCATTATCTTAGAAGCTAGGCAGAGAGGAAGATATTTTGATATTGTGGGTGTTTTAGGCTACTCTGTAAATCTAGTGAGAGTTCCTCCTACTTTTCAATGTACATAAAGATCCACAGGTACTAACATTCAGATCCTGGAATTGAGAGGAATAAAGCATACTTAAAACACAGTGTTTCTTATCAGCAGTATTCCTAAAATACCTGGAAACAATGAGCACAGAGCTATCAAACTCCACAATAGTCTGGAGTAGTCCATTTTATAAACTCTTCCAAAATCAAAGTCTGTGGATTACAGCTGTCTGAAGAATGCATAATGCATTTTGCAGATTAAACTCTAGGTTTGCAACCATTCATTGTTGTTGCTGTTTTACAAATATGTCCCTGGAATTTCAGCATTCCAGTGGGCTGGTACCTATAGCCACCTGAGTGTCAAGCATGAACAAATCTATAGTTTTCAGTAGATTTCTTTTTCAATTCCTTGACTCCTGAGTACAAGCAGCAACTGATAATGTTTGCTTTGAAATCAAGACCTGTCTTCTTCCCCAACCTGGATTATAATCTGAACCAGTGACCCATTTATTTTGCAGCTGCTCCAGCAGTAGTGACAACAACAGCAGTGGCATTCCACCCATTAGGTGGAAAGCAGGATCAAGAGAGGAACAAAGGGAGGGAGGGAGAGGTTAGCAAAGAGACATTTCACTCTACACTTGGAGCTGAAGGACACCAGACTCTGAAACACTAAACTGAAACCAGTTGAACATATAAATCTCCAAATGTTAACATCTTTTCTAGTGCAGGAGATGACTTTCCAGTATCATTGGCAATAGTTCAAGCTGGGGAAAAAGACCAAGGAATGTATCAGTGCTGTCTGAAGAATATGTATGGAAAAGCAACTGCAGACTTTAACCTGACTGCTGAAGGTAAAAGCTAATTTGTTCTGTTTAACACAAAGCACAGCAGAGAGTGCAATTTTTGGTCTAAAAGCTCATTGCGTTGTTTTTCGTTTTTCTGCAGTGTTAGAGCATCTTTCCAGTTTTCAAGATGTTGAAGGTAAGGTCAAGGAGCATTCTTCCTACATATACTTTGTAGAACTGCATCAAAACCTATATTTGAAATTTATCCGATTGCTAGTAATTTGGGCTCCAGAACATGTTATTTCGGCCCATTCTGGAGGAATTAGTGAAATAGTAATGAATAAGAAAGAGTATATCTGTGTATGTGCAGAGTGTATTTCTTTTGCCACTGTATGATCTTATTCTGAGAATCAGGAAGACTCTGATCTGCAACAATTGCTGCTGCCAGACCAAGCTGGCCATTAGCTAGATTCAGATCATGGCCAGAGGCAGTAGAGTACCGGGGCAACAATAGTGGCACAGCTGCTGGCACCCACTCTCCTCTGCCTAAGTGGGCCACCTATTCTGGCTTTTTTCTACACATCATCCTTGGGGGCAAGGCATTACTCACACAACTGTCCAAGAAGCAGCTGGCTTGCAAATGCCACCACCAGCTTCCTCCCTCTCTTTCCCTCTGTGAGTCTTACCCACTCTCCTCTGCCTAAGTGAGCCACCTACTCTGGCTTTTTTCTACACATCATCCTTGGGGGCAAGGCATTACTCACACAACTGTCCAAGAAGCATCTGGCTTGCAAATGCCACCACCAGCCTCCTCCCTCTCTTTCCCTCTGTGAGTCTTGCAGGGGTAGCAGCCCATAACAGTGCCACTTCTATTCCTACTGGCACTGGTGATAGTCACTGCTGGAACATAGCCAGGATCTAGTGGTTAGGTTGCTGGACAGGAACCTCAGAGATCCAAGTTCACATCCCCACTGGGCCATGAAATTGACTGGCTGACCTTGGGATAATCAATGTCTTTCAACCTCCCTTCCCTACAAAGTTCCTTCAAGAGTGAAGTGGGGAGGAAGAGAGTTATGTACTGTGGAGTCTCGACTTACGAATGTCTTGACTTGTGACCAATTCAAGTTACGAATAGCTCCAGTCCCAAAATTTTGCTTTGACTTGCAACTGGCGCTTTGAGATACAACCAGAAAAAGGTTCCCTCCCTCCCTGTCCTTTTTTTTAATCTTAGATGTCACCTTAGATTTAAAAAAGTAGATTTAAAAAAGTCTCCCCCTAGTGGACAGATTAACGGCTTTATTGATTCAGTGATTGATTGATTGATTGATTGATTGATTCATTGATTGATTGATTGATTGATTGTGCCGCCCACACTACCCAAAGGTCTCCGGGCGGCTTACAACAATTCAAATACAATACAATTTAGAACAATTAAAATACAATTAAAATATATATAAAAATTGCCATCGGAACCACAGCTAATATTATTTCAATTAAAAGCCTTCTGGAACAGGAAGGGTTTGACCTGGTGCTGAAATGTCACCAGCGTTGGCGCCAGACAAATCTCAGTCGGGAGGGCATTCCATAGTCTGGGGGGCAGCTGCCAAGAAGGCCTTTTGTGTACAAGCCGTCCCTCTTACCTCCTTAAGGGACGGCTCTTTCAAAAGGGCCCCCTGGCTAGATCTTAACTGCCATGTAGGTAATGCTTTTGCATTAGATTCTATGGGAACTAATGCTTTGAGATACAATCAGCACCTTGAAATACAACCCAAAAAACGTCCGGAATGGATTAATCGTGTTTCAATGTATTCCTGTGGGAAAATTTTTGAAATCATCTGCACAATATGTATGGCTTTAAAGAGCACTTAATAAACCCTTTGTAAATCAAATTTGACTTTGTTCTGACTTTTTTTGCCCATAGGAATGCATTCATTACATTTCAATACATTCCTATGGGAAAACATGTTTCGCAAGATGAATTTTTCGCAAGACAACATTAACCACAGAATGAATTAAATTCGTCTTGCGAGGCACCACTGTACATTTTTTAAACTTCTTTAGCAATTTAACTCAGCCTTCCTCTGCCGTACATTTTTGACATTAAGTTTCTGCTTTAACCCAAAGAGTCAGAAAGCGTGATTTACACTGAAGCAGGTAAAGTGGCTTCACATAGGAGCTCAGCTGAAAAGAAGGAGCCATGACAATGAACCACTTTTATATGATTATTCCCTATACTGAAACATGTGGTTATTTCTAGGTCTTGAGCTATGAAACAGTATCCAAGTAGAATAGCAATAAATTATGAGATAGAATACTTTTTCCATAGGTTCCTGTTGTCTTAATTATAGCAACAGCATGTGAATTACAAGGCCCTTGCTAAACATAGACAACACTTTTGCCAGCAGGTTTTATCATCACCAGACAAGTCATATTAGCATGGTGACTAATACAACCTTAGCTCATTCACTTATCTGGGTGGTCACTTGGCCTGATTCATTAAGAAGCAGGATTAACCATTCCATTCAGTTTGAAACAAGTGGATCATCTTTCGTTTACTAACCACAGATGCCTTCTTAGGGGTTTGTATTTTGTTTCTGTATGGCTGCAGTTAAAAGGGACCTTCAGTAAGTCTCAAGAAAAGTATGTGCATTACGTACTCAGTATGGCATGGTGGATAAAGTGACGGCCTAGGACTCGGAGAGCTTGGTTTGGTCCCTACGTGGCTGTGAAAATTCACTGGAGGGAGCAGGGCTGGAATTGGTAAACCCATTCCTTAAATACGTTGCTCATTTGGAAGCCCAGTGAGTGTTGCTATAAGTCAGTTCCAACTAGGCAACCCATAACATGTGTGGGACTCAGGTAAAAGTAAAGAACATGAATTTGTCACATAAACGCTCTAAGGGAAGGTGGTGTTCATTTATTGTGGAGGCTATGGCAAATTCTTAGATTTTGAAGATGGAACAGTTACTGTTGTAAAAGTCACGATGGGTATGTGGCTGCTCAATGAATCTTTTGTTGTATATATTTATTAACTTTTGGTGTGTAAATTTCTCAAAGACTTTTGTCTATTGGGTGGTTTAGAAAAGCAGTGAAAGCTAACTAACTAACTCTGCAAGTTGTGACTTAACAAGCAAGATCATAAGCTGTTAGCCACTTTGTCTCTTTACGTTAGTGGAAATCTAGGATTGTTGAATGCAATTTGATATGTGAGTGTTCAACTTTACTGCTTTACTAGTACTTTATGCTAAAAAAAACTCTATTAAGGTTGCCTTATGTCAGAAGCAACTTGACGGCATTTACCATAATTATTATTTATATCATTGCAAGTTAAAATAAATGTAGAGAAAAAGAAGAAATGCTTAAAGAAAGTGTTCATATTAGATAGAGCTCAATCTACTAAGACCTTCAAAGACCTAAATCAGCATTTCAAACAATAATACACTCTGAATCATATATGTATACTATTTTCTTTTATAGTGAATGTACTTTGTCAATAGCTGTTTTAACAATGAAAACGGAGATTCCAACTTGTTTATGTCTCAGCTGTCCTTAAATCTACTACAAGTTTTTTTACCCACAAAATGTTTCTATGCAGCTTCTATGCCCAGTTCCCCCTTCTAGTTGCTATGCAATCTTGTTCACCCCAGAGATAAGTTTTGTGATGCAAATTCAATGTGTTCAGCCTCATTTATACAAAGATTGCTAATGTTACACATACTTTCTTGAAAAGAACTCTGAACATCAGAGTTCTATTATTCCCCTTTTGCTTATGTTTGATCAAAAGTAGCTATTATTGCATTTTTAAATAATCATTTTTATTAGTAATTTTTCCTCCTCTGCCCCCAAAATTGCTCTACTATATGCTATGGGTTTTTTTTTGTAACCATCTGTCTTTGTAGAATGATATCAGACAATAGTGCTAAAGTGACCATCATCTGGGTCCAGTCTGAAAGTTAAACAGGTTTGGTCCTTCACTGGTTCTCAGACAGTGGCAAGAGATGTATAATGGAAGATTGTGAATTGTAGACTGCTCTTTGTGATAATCCCCATAACCACTCTGCAAAAGAGAATCCAAAAATGTAGACAACTGTGTTGGTCAACTTTGTCTCAAAGTCAATAGACTACGTAGTTGTACCAGTTTCATATCCATGTGGATCAGTTGATAGGTCGTAATCACCTATTAAGAGCAAATCACACCAAAAATGCTTGTTCTATTAAAATTGCTTGGCATAAGGAAATCACATCAATGGATGATAAGACAATCATTTAGTTCCATTTTCAGGCACATTGAGTTGACTTGCACTGTCAAAACCAATACACAAACAGGAAAACACTTACCTCTCAATGTCCACAATTGTCTGAATTTTCTGATGCTCCACTCAGATACTGTGTAAAAATGCAAAAAAGGCAGTTTTTTTTTAAAAAAATTAGAAATTACAGACTCCTGTTTAAACAGGGCAAAATGAACTTGTGCTTCATAATGTTTAAAAGGTTTCAAAAAATTAAATAGATGACAAATTTATATCCTTCTATGAAATGCTTTGGTACCATCAGTCCTGATTGTTCTGCTGATTGCCCCTTTTTGCACTGCTTGAGGTTCATCGGAAACTACTCCAGAGTGTCCTTGAACTTCAGAGATGGCTTATGAAAAAATACAGGAGGCTGCAATAATAAAAGAATCTTACCGCACATACAGAATCCATTATATTACCTCTGAGCCTACTTCTTGTCCCTTTCTATTTTTCTGTGCTGATTGCTTTTAAACTATTTCTCCAGGCTTTTTTCTTGCAAAGCAAGATAGGAACAAACTTTAGCATATCAACTGAAGTTTCTTCTATCCAATCTCTTTTTATTTTACAGGCTTGGAAGAGATTGAATTCCTACAACTTATGTTCAGAGACGATTTCATCTGTGACAGTTACTTGAGTAAGAGCCTCCATGGGCGAATTACAACAGAAGAGTTACATTTTGGGGAGGGGGTGCACCGAAAAGCTTTCCGAAGCAAGGTCATGCAAGGCTTAGTGCCTGTGTTCAGCCCTGGCCATCCCTGTGTTCTTAAAGTGCACAATGCCATTGTCTATGGGACCAAGAACAAAGATGAACTCGTGAAAAAGAATTACAAATTAGCATTGCAGGTAAATTATTCCTGCTGTTATCTCAGTGCAGCTGGTTTTCAAATATGCATACAGCTGACTGTGTTAATTATTTCATTTTTCACTATGCCACTGGATTCTCTTTATATAGGAATGTTATGTTCAAAACACAGCAAGAGAGTATGCCAAGATATATGCAGCTGAAACAAAACCCCTAGAAGGCTTTGGAGAGGTACCTGAGTGAGTACATATTTTTAAAGATTTGGAATGTAAAGCTTGTGTTGTAAAAAAAAAATCTATAATTTGTCCTTTGCATACACAAAGATTCTTGTGTGTCAACCAGCCTAATCCTATGTGAGTTTCACTAGATGCCCTTTTATTTTGCTATTTGAGATGGAGCAGTAAATGATCCTCTACCAAATTACAGTGGTGCCTCGGTAGTCGATGATAATCCGTTCCACTGAAATCGCTGTTTAGCGAAATAATCGTCTAGCGAAAAGCATTTCCCTGTTTAATGCATTCCAATGGGGAAGAACTGTCGTTGTCTAGCGAAGATCGGCCATAGGAAAGCCGCTTTGCGAACCGCCGATCAGCTGTTTAAATGGCTGTCTTGTGAAGCTTAGGTCCTGAAAACACCCATTTTGCAAGCACGGAGGGAGCTGTCAAAATCGTTGTCTAGTGAAAATTGGTTTGCAAAGCAGGGACCAAACGTTGTCCAGCGAAATTCCCCCATAGGAATCACTGTTTTGCGAATCGCAAAAAGTCAATGTCTAGCGAAAAAACTGTCATGCGGGGTAACTGTCTAGTGAGGCACCACTGTAATGTGGCTCGTATCCCCAAATTAACCAAGTCATTTTAGGACCAGTTTATTTCTGCAACCTTGGGAATTCCCACAAGCACCTTTCTTCTCCTCCGAAGTAAAGAAATGCAATAATCAACGAAATACTAAGTTGTTTTCCCTTCCTGATATCGAGAATTTGCTGCATTTTGGGAACAAAAGATGTGTGGCGCTCTAAGGTCTGAGGAAGAACAAAAATGACCCCCCCATCTTGTGGAAGCTGCCCATTCTTGCTTTAAAGCTTAGTAGACCTTCCTTCTTGCCCATGAAAAGGCAGTTCACCAACTGCTCCCCCATAATAGATAAGGCAGATTTCTATGTGGACCATCAAAATTACACAAATTAGCAGGGTTTCTCTTTCTGGCTTGCAGCTCCATTTCCCAAGATGGGAAGAAGAGAATTGGGGAGCAAAGCCCAGCATTTGCAAGCTGGCATTTGCAAGTCGTATTGACTCTGAAACAACTGCACGTTATTTTTATTTTCCTAGTTAAAAAGGTAAAGGTCCCCCTTGACATTTTTAGTTCAGTCGTGTCCAACTCTAGGGCGCGGCGCTCATCCCGCTTTTCAAGCCATAGAGCCAGCGCCTGTCCGAAGACAGTTTTCATTGTCATGTGGCCAGCATGACCAGGGAATGCCATTTTACCTTCCCACCGAGATGGTACCTGTTTATCTGCTCGCATTTACATGCTTTCGAACTGCTAGGTTGGCGAGGAGCTGGGACAAAGCGACGGGAGCTCACTCCGTTGCGTGGATTCGATCTTATGACTGCAGGTCGTCTGACCCTGCAGCACAGGCTTCTGCGGTTTAGCCCACAGTGCCACCACGTCCTATTTTCCTAGTTAACTATTCTTTATTTCAGAGATGGGAAACGTACATCACTCCAGGACTGAATAAAGCACACTTTTATTCTCTCCCTGGCCGCAGATCATGCCCCCTATAAAATGTTCTGGTCCCTGTTTGGTCAATTCTGATTTTGATTTTTAGTAACTTTTAACCATTGCAATCTTATAGAAACACTGACTGGTACTGTAGAACAGATGCAAGTTTTCATCAAAATATTGGTGCAGTATGTATGTTTCTCCCAATTTTTGCCATTTTTGTTGATCTGATAGTGTTATTTCTGAGATCTGCAACTGCTTATGATACTGTGTGAACTTTCTTGATATTGTTCCCAAAGCCCCAATGATGATGGGGCCCACTGAAGTGTCTTTCATCCACAAGGGAGATGTTTCCATTGCCAGGTCTCTGTATTTTTTTAGTTTTTTCAGTCAATTCTGGCATCTCCTGGAATTACAATGTCAACGATCAAGACATTTCTTCATTCTATTACTAGAAATAATTACTCTATTATTTCTGGAGTGTTGTGTTCAAGGTGTCTTATGATGATGATGATGATGATGATGATGATTGATTGATTTATTGATAGATGTCATATAACAGATACAAGTTTTAATCAAAAACCTAAGTATTTGTTAAATCTCAGTGTAATATGTTCCTAATGTTGCCAGTTTCTTTTCCTGTTCTAATGGTGTTATTTCAGAGATCTGCAGCTCATTATAATATTTTATAAAATTCTATGGCATTGTTCCCAGTGCCCTAATTACTATGGGAGCCACTGAAATGTGTTTCATTCACAGCCAAGATGTTGTTGTTGTTGTTGGCATGCAGCTTTTTAATGCACTTCTCTAGTGATGGTAAGAAATATTCTGCGAAGGTTGTAATGAATGGCTGCACCAGCTGCACCTCAGATCTTTTTCAAAGGATTTGCTGTTCCATCGCATAAGAATCATATGTAGCTAGCTTCTCAAATGGGCAAATGGGTGTTGAAATCGCTCTTGCTTTCCTTAGGGATGAGTCTTAAATATCCCCAAGAAGCTTAAGTAGCCTTCTCTCAAATCTAACATTAGATAATTGCTTGCGATGTATCATTATGAATCATCTATGACTATATCGGTTGAGGCTGAGTCCTATTTTGTACAAATAACTCACCGTGGTAGATGCTGCCTCCTGCCATTCCTATCCTTATATCAAAAGGTTTTCTTGGCTAGTTAGGATGAAAATGTGTACACATGACCTGTATATTCAAGTAGCATAATAACATCTTAAAATATATCAACAAAAAAGCTACATTTTACCTCTGTTTATTGACTCTCTACCCTCAGCATGTCTACCACTTCCTTTGCAGTCCTGAGGTAAAAAAGATTGGTCTCAGCAAGGTGAAAATGCAGAGCTAAGAATAGAACTAAGAACAGAGTTTGCCTGTGGAAAATGTAAAAGCAACATGTAAGCAGCAGGATGTCCAAGCATGAGGCACTGAGTCTGAGGTCCGAAGGTGATAAGGAAATAGTCTTAGGGCTCTTATTAACTGCAACCACATCTGTTATTTATGACCTATTTTCCAAATGAACACACAGCATGCTGTGTGGTGGAAATTTGTTTTAAAAATTCTGTCCGTGTGATTTCTAAGGATATGCATGCATATGCAAAATGCCACAACTCTTTCCCTGGCATGTGTTTAATTTAATTCATTTATGGACTACATTTCTGGGATAAAACTGAATATTGTAAAGAACAGTGTTGTCAATCCAGTGTTGAGTTTTATCCCCACCTCCCCACAATTCAATCCATACTAAAGACTATGAAGCTGCTGAAGTTATACACAAGATTTCCCCACATTTTAGAAATCAATGCACACTTGTGGATTTTGTGATTCAGATGAGATGAATTGCACAAATAAGGTGGAGTAACTGAAAGCTGAAGCATACTGTACATGCACAATGTATTTGCTAATTAAAATGAAAGAACAATGCTAAATGGATAATGCTTTGCTTCCACTTGAGGAGCAAAAACAGCTTATATAGAATAGTTTAGTTTGAGATCATCTCAGAGTATCCCTTTATGCACAAGATGGTGGACTACTACAACTCCCATAATTCCATTAGCCATCCTGTCTTGGACTCGTGGGAATTAGCATGCAATAAAATCCAGAGAGTCACAGATTCCCTACACCTTCATTCTGTAACAGAGTACACTTTAAGCTTTAATATAAAGAGTCAACATTCTACACTTTTCTTAAATATTTTGTGGCATTGTGAAGTTCCAGTTTTCTTTTCTTGGTTTTGATTTCAGAATCATTCCTATTTTTCTTGTACATCGACCCAAGAATAATATTCCTTATGCAACAGTGGAGGAAGAGTTAATTGGAGAATTTGTGAAATATTCTGTCAAGGACGGGAAAGAAATAAACTTCATGAGAAAAGACTCAGAAGCTGGCCAGAAGTGTTGTACATTTCAGCATTGGATATACGAAAGAACCAACGGCAGCTTGCTTGTAACAGATATGCAAGGTCAGTATCTGGTTGGCACACTGCAGTGCATTTTGTAAATCTCGTCCAGAAAGTAGCTCTTGCAGTAGGCAATAAGCCTTCTTTGGCCTGGAAATTGAACTGTGAAGCATCTGCTGTGAGCTTCAGCTCACTCTAAAACCTGGTTAGGCAATCTTCTTTCCAGACTTTGCTCTTCTTCCCCTGACACTGTCATAGCCATTCCATATTTTATAACTGCATTCCTTATTTTACAACTGCTTCTGCACTTCTGAAATGTTGACACAAACCAACAGCAACAAGAATAACCTTGTATTCTCATGGTTGTTGTGGGTTTTTCAGGCTCTTTGGCCATGTTCTGAAGGTTGTTCTTCCTGACGTTTCGCCAGTCTCTGTGGGCGGCATCTTCAGAGGAACAGGAGTAGGAACTCTCTCCATGCTCTGTTGCTATTTGTTGGATAGTTGAGTATTTATAGTTGTGGGAACAGCTTTTGTCTTTTTTTCAGGAGATAGGGTGATCAGCATGTTTTTGTTGTGATAAGGAGGGAAGAGATTATCTGTCACTGCGATTGATGGGTGTCATTAGCTGGTCTTTTCTGTGCAATGATCCCTGGCCCTTGTGGCTTGGTAGAGTTTGTTGACCTTTTGCAGGCTGTATTTTTCAGATTTGGGAGCCAGGCCGTGTTTAGTTTTAGGCCTTCTTCCTTTTTGTTGAAGTTTTGTTTATGTTTATGGATTTCAATGGCTTCCCTGTGCAGTCTAACATACAGATTGATGGTGTCGTCCAGTACTTCAGTATTTTGAAATAGAATTTCATGTCCAGCTTGTTTTAGGACATGTTCGGCTACTGCTTATTTTTCCGGTTGTTTTAGTCTGCAGTGTCTCTCATGTTCTTTGATTCTGGTGTGAATGCTGTGTTTGTGGTTCCAACAGCAACAAGAATAACCTTGTATTCTCATGGTTGTTGTGGGTTTTTCAGGCTCTTTGGCCATGTTCTGAAGGTTGTTCTTCCTGACGTTTCGCCAGTCTCTGTGGTCCACAACTGCAAGGTATCCGGTATACTCCTGCAGTGGTGAGGGAGTCCCTTTTGTCCTTTGCTGACTGTAACATTTGTTTGTAGGTTGTATTTTCTCAAAAGTTTTCCCATGCGGTCCCATGCTCCCTCACCACTGCTTGGAGGGGCTTGCCTCCTGCAAGAACACAGCACCCATGGCCGGATCCTGTAGCTAGGTTTCTGAAATTTCCTTTTCTTTAACTCACTCAAGGCTAGGGGGATATTCATTGAAAATATTTTACCTATTATCAGAAGAGTGGGGGGGAAGGTACCTGCTTACTGTGGAAAATATTTGAATCCCATAATAGTCTTACATATCGCTGATGTAACAAACATAGCAATAAATGCTGACAATATGCCCCTTCTATGAACCAGTTCAAAAATCAGACAATACTTATTGCCTCTATTAATGTATGCATTTATTTTGGCTTCTCTGTTTCTCCAGTATTAGCTCCTCACAAACTGTTTGTGCATGTGTGCACACTTTGCACATACACTCTCCATGTACATCTGTGTGAGAGGGAGAGCTTGCCCTTTTTCACTATGTAAGGAGACTGTAGATCACATTTCATCAAAAATAGGTATTGCCAATGCATTAGCAATCAGAAGATTGCACTGTTTCATGATAAGGCAATCCTCATTTAGGCGCACTGGAGATTATATTCCGCTAACTAGAGGTGGAGAAAGGGTTTTTTTTGGACTTCCAGATTGCTTTTTTATTTAAATTAAAGCACCATACAAAGGCCAAGCGATGCTCAGTGCAGAAGAAATAACTGGTCTAGCATTCTGAATATATGATGGTTAACATTTGCAATCAGTAGTTGTGCTAATTAAAGCTATATATCAAATCTGTTGATGAAAGGATGGAAGAGCTTTTCTATACTGTAACTGAAATATTCTCATTTAATAGCACTTCACTATTTCGTTTTGTAGGTGTAGGAATGAAACTAACTGACGTTGGCATAGCAACACCAGCCAAAGGGTGAGTGAAATATATATATATATATATTGCAATGTCCACCTTTTTCAATCTTATGATGATGCATATTTAATTAGGAAGATTGCAGTGCATGAAATCAATTTTCGAAAAACAGCTTTTAAAAGCAAAACAAATCTCAGTGGAATATTCCTGTTACATTCTCCTGGTTGATAAAATGTTGATGAAAACTGAAAGCTAGTTTGTTCACATTTTTGAAAGGGAAATGAGAAGCACTTTGCAAACACTGCATTTTATTTATGTATTTGCAATACCGACGCTAGTTCCAAATATCCAGGCAATGTTTCTGAGAGCAAATTGGCTTACTTCCTAAAGGAAGGAAGGAAGGAAGGAAGGAAGAAAGAAAGATGAAACCAACCCTTAATGGCTTTAATATATATTATTGCTCAAGTCTTTCTCTGATTCACACAAATATGCTAACATGCAAGTACTCTGTAGCTAGTATGGTGCTCAAGACAAACATTGAGTTAAAGCCATCTATTAGTCCCAATGAGAGAACTCCTGCTTGAAAGAACGGGAATTGTCAGGTGAATACTTATGTAAATGATATTGGTTCAGTGGTTTGTTCTAACTGTATCTGCATCATGGTGTAGTGAACAGAGTGATGTATATTATTGCTCAAGTCTTTCCCTGATTCACACAACTCTAAAAATCTGCTAACATGCAAGTACTCTGTAGCTAGTATGGTGCTCAAGACAAACATTGAGTTAAAGCCATCTATTAGTCCCAATGAGAGAACTCCTGCTTGAAAGAACGGGAATTGTCAGGTGAATACTTATGTAAATGATATTGGTTCAGTGGTTTGTTCTAACTGTATCTGCATCATGGTGTAGTGAACAGAGTGATGTTCTAAGATTCAGGAGACCTGGGCTAAGATCCCTACAAGGGCATGGAAATAAACTGTGTGTAGATGTAGCACAGGTAAAACCAAGTTGACTGTACATAACACACAACCCAACTGCACTAACAATTGAATGTAACCGGTTATGCTTGAAGTCCTCAAACTGAGGTAAGGTAAAGGTAAAGGTTCCCCTTGACAATTTTCACAGGTAAAGTTGACTGTACATAACACACAACCCAACTGCACTAACAATTGAATGTAACCGGTTATGCTTCAAGTCCTCAAAACTGAAGCTGCCTTTAATTGATGTTAATGAATGCTTTAAGACAGAAGGGCCGGGCGTGCTCTGGTCCATGGGGTCATGAAGAGTCAGACATGACTAAACAACAACAAAACAATAACAAATGCAAAGCCAATTCTTGTTACAATTAATATCAGTGTAGATCCAATATTGTACCAGGGTTACCTCTCAAACAAGTCCTCAAAACTGAAGCTGCCTTTAATTGATGTTAATGAATGCTTTAAGACAGAAGGGCCGGGCGTGCTCTGGTCCATGGGGTCATGAAGAGTCAGACATGACTAAACAACAACAAAACAATAACAAATGCAAAGCCAATTCTTGTTACAATTAATATCAGTGTAGATCCAATATTGTACCAGGGTTACCTCTCAAAATGGAATGGGCATGGGATCCAAGCACAAAAAGGGAATATGAATATCTTGTGGACTTGTTATTTCTTAGCAATGTTTAATTACTCTCTTGGTGAATTTACAGAAATCTCAAAAAGGGAGAACAGTATTGCCTATGAAGTGGCTTAATTAATATAGGTCCCTTAATTATTGGCCATGTTCTTTTTTTTTAAGATAGCATAGGGACAAGGAAGAAATTCTAGAACAACAAGAACAAATGCAAAGCCAATTCTTGCTACATTTAATATCAGTGTAGATCCAATGTTGTACCAGGGTTACCTCTCAAAATGGAATGGGCATGGGATCCAAGCACAAAAGGGGAATATGAATATCTTGTGGACTTGTTATTTCCTAGCAATGTTTAATTAATCTCTTGGTGAATTTACAGAAATCTCAAAAAGGGAGAACAGCATTGCCTATGAAGTGGCTTAATTAATATAGGTCCCTTAATTATTGGCCATGTTCTTTTTTTTTAAGATAGCATAGGGACAAGGAAGAAATTCTCCAGGAAGGGCTTAGCATGAAGCCGAAAGTAAGGTTCAAAATGTACAATATATATAATTTTGTTTATTTATTTATTTTGCAGATGTATGTATTTAACCAAGCCTTGTGTATTATGATCAGGGCCCCTTCCAATTAGTCTACGAAAAGAAATTAGGGCTTAAGTTTCGTAGGAGAAATCATTTGCTCCTTCCCTTGATTTTGAGTTTGCTTTTATGCATTGATAAAATATTTCTTCAAAGTTTATAATGTCTTCTGTAGATTTTAGAGAGACTGTTTAGCTTCAGCAACTCTCCTACAAGCTGTAAAGAGAAAAAAAGTGAACAAAAAACAAAAATTATTTTATGCCAGAAAATAAAGAGGAAGGCTTAAAAAAAAAGTCCAGTATAGGATCAGAAGCCGTGAATATTTTATTTCCTACAAACAGGAGAGAGGAGGGCAAATAAAAAAATGTATCGGGAAAGAAATAAAGGAAATTAACAGGATGGAGACAATTCAGAATGGCTCTCTTTATGGTAAATTCAGATTGCCCAGAGTATCTATTATGCAGACTGATGAGAATCCTGGTGTCAATTTGCAAGTGAAAGCATAGTTAGATGAACAAGCACAGTAGGCTTTGTCAGAAACTGAACCATTTTTAACTGTTAGGTAACATGAAGGTTCCAGAAGGAATGGCATTTTCTTGCTTTCAATCTATTTCCTTTATTGCCTATCAAAAACGCTAGCAATAGACTAATGGCATGGTCTCTTCCCACAGCATGACAAGGTGGGAGCTACTGTCAGTATGGGAAGGGAACCAACTTAAGCTACCAGTTCGTATGGTGAAATGGTATGGAAATAAGACAGGGTGAAGTCATAGGAACCAGAATTATACCCCTTTGGAAACCTATCTGGAAAGACAAAAAAAAAAGTGTGCAACCAGATGATTTTCAGCAGGACAGATTATTTCTTTTGTTGCTGCATTGGTGAGGGTTCTAATGTAGAAGCACAGTAAGCCACAAGGATGAGTCAGAAGGATTCTGGAGATGTGGGCCTAGAGAGCATGGAGAGTTGTCACGATAGACAGGGTGGACTTATGATTGAATGTTTGCAAAACTGGCATGGACCAGATATAGACTGATTTAAGTCGTCCCTATTTGGAACCTCCAGAATGTTGGCACCAAACCAACCAAACAAAGCTATCTTTTATTTATTTATTTATTTATTTATTTGTTTGTTTGTTTGTT